ACTTGATCAGTGTACAAGTGCTGTGATCACTGTTGAACTCTTGGACAAACAAAAGGCCTTCTGGAGAAAAGTTCATTGCTCAGATGAAACAAATACTGAGATATTAGGCCACAATGACCAGATATATGTTTGGGGGAAGAAGATGAGGCCCTTCACTCAAACAACACAAAACCTACTATCAAGCATGGTGGTGGCAGTATCATGCTCTGGGGCTGTTTTGCTGCCAGTGGACCTGGTGCTTTACACAAAGTAAATGGAATAATGAAGGAAGATATCCTCCACTTTCATCAGTAAAACCCTAAAATCATCAGTCAGAGGGTTGGACTTCGGACGCAGTTAAGTGGTTCAACAAGACAATGACCCCAAATACACATTAAAAGTGGTAAAGAAATGGCTGAATCAGGCTAGAATTAAGCTTTTAGACTGGCCCCCCCAAAGACCTGACTTAAACCTCATCAAGAACCTGTGAACTGTTCTGACAAAACAACTCTGTGCCAGAAAGCCAACAAACTGCACCAGTTCTGTCAGGATGATAGGTCAAAGATACAACCAGAAACTTGTGAACAGCTACTGAAAGCACCTTGTTATGGTGGAAATGGCCCCGAGACATTTGACCAAATGTGCTCTTTGCTTGCCAACACAGAACTGCATGCAGTCTGAGTGACCTTCTCCTCACGACATCTCAGATTTAAAAAGTAAGAAGCTTCATCTAGTGATGCAAGCAGGGACTACAGCTAATTGCAGTGATGTCTCAGGACAGAGACAATGTCAAGGATTATTATCTGACATTCATGTAGAGAATACAGGTGGTCAAGGTTTTTTGGAGCTTGCACATCCTACACTCTCACACTACATTTCGGACATTGTCCTGCTGGAGCCTGACAACAAGGTTTGGGACCACCTATGTAACATTAGGAAAAGAGATTGAAGTGAAGGCAAAAAACACATGATCTTGACACCTCAATTAGAGAGGATTTGCTCAGTTTCTGAGAACTGGCTGTTTCAGCAGATGATGAATGTCACCTGATATTTCTCTTAAATACTACAAAAAACAATCAAATGATCAGGGACAGCCTGAAGGCCTTGCATCACATTTAATTAAATTTAACTTACTAGTGCTCGTGGAGGTTGCGTATGAAGCGCAGTAATCCCAGTGGGGTTTCAGGATAGGCTTTTTTTTTGCCATCCACCTCCTGAACAAGATGTTGTGGAAGCTGGAACACCAAAAAACGTTTCGTCACAAAAGGGAATTTCGGAATACACACGTCAAAGCTGGTCAATAGCACTCACCTTGTTTTTCCACTGCTTGAAGGATCCGTCCCCCAGATATTCTTCCAGCAATCTAAGAAGTTCCGGATCAGGATTTCGACAGTTTACCACCTCCTCTCTGTTACCAATCCTTCTCAAGTACTCAACTTGCCTAAAACAGAAAAAAAAAAATGTTTTAAGTGCAAAATAGAAAACAAATCATATATGATCCTGAATAAAAAAGGGAAAAAAATAAATAGTAAGAAATGGATATACAATGTCTATAAAAAGTATTCACCCCCATGAGAGGTTTTAACTTTTTTTTATTTTTCCACATTGAATCATGGTCATTTTAATCTGGATTTGTGGACAATCATTTACAAAAAAGACTCTTTCACATCAAAGTGAAATCAGATTTCTACACAGTAATGATAATTCATTTAAAACTTTAGATGTAAAATAAGTGATTGTGTAAGTATTCCTGCCCTTTAAAGTGACCCATCGAGTTCAGCACAGGGGTCATCAATTGGTGCTAGAAGTCACAGTATGAATAAAATAGAGATCATCAAGCGCAATGAATGTGTTGTAAGTAATTTCTGTATGAAATAAACCCTGTATCTGAATCTCACCGTTGAATCAGTACTCCTGGCTATAATTACATCTTGAAGATACTCTAGACCAGGGGTCTCAAACTCGCGGCCTGCGTGCCCCAATGGGCTCACAGGACGATATTTTGTGGCCCCCTACTTGACATCAAAGTTTAGTGTAAGTCACTTGAAATGTGATTCAGTAGTGTCACCAAGTGGAGGGAAAGTATATCCTGTCACCCACTGCAAATGCGTTTTTTTGCTTGTTTGTTTTTATCTATTTGTGTGAAAAACTCTTCTCCACCATGAACTTCAATAGGTCAAAGTACAGATCCAAACTTACTGATGAGCATCTTCAAGCCATACTGAGGGTCTCAATTGCTTACTCCCTCAAGTCAAATGTGGCTCAGCTCTGTAAGAGGAAGCGCTGTCAGGTCTCTGGCAGCAAGGAGTAGGTAAGACAAGCCTATGTTCTGAATTGTTGTTAGAAAAGCTAAAGAAGATTGGATCAGTTGTACTTTTTTGGGAAAACTTGAAACCCTTTTTTTGTGGAATCCTTGATGTGGCCCAGCTTCACCCAGACCCTACCTCCAGCGGCCCCCAGGCAGGTTGAGTTTGACACTCCTGCTCTAGAGTCTCAGCAACTCTGTGTGTTCTTGAAAATCACAAGTCAGGGGATGGATACAAGAGCAGACACTGTAAATCCTGAGGAGTACAGTTGAATCCATCATTAGGAAACAGTAGGAATGTGGCACATGTGTAAATCTGCCTAGAGCAGGTCGTCCTGTCGAGTGATGGAGGCCACCAAGACATCTACGGCTCATCTGAAAGCGTTTCAAGCTTCAGTGGCTGTGATGGAAGCGACTGCGCATACAACTGGTACCCAGGTTCTTCAACGTCAAAACTTTTTTTGAGAGTGGCAAAGAAAAAGCCACTGTTGAAAAACCCTCCAGAGTTCACCAGAAGGTATGGGGATGAGACCTAATGAGCTTGGTGGCCATCAGGAAGGATGCTATTCTTGGCAGACACTAAATACTGCACATCATCACAAGTTCATCATTTCTACCATAAAGCATGGTGGTGGCAGCATCATGATGTGGATGGTTCTTTGCAGTAGGCCCTGGAATTTTACCCTGGCAGGAAAAAACTAACATAGCAAATCATAGGGAAGTCTTAGAGGGCAACCTGATGCAGTCTGCAAGAGAACTGCGTCTTGGGTTTGGATTTGCTTCTTGGCAAGGCAATGACCAAAAGTATACAGCCAAATCGTTGAAAGACATCAAGTCGAGTGTTCTGGAGTGGTTGAGTAAGAGTCCAAACCTCCAGAAGGTGTGGCTGGACTTGAAAAGCCTGTTTGGTAATGATCCTCATGTAACCTGACAGATCTCAAGCATTTTGGAGAATGGAGTAAAACAACAGTGTTCACCATTGACAAGAAAGGGAAATATTTACATGACATTTACCATTTTAAATTTATTTGCATAACTTTAGAGTAATCTGTTTGATTTAGCCATGTTTTTTAAGAAAAAAAAAAACTCTTGTCGAAATAGCCAAATTACGTTGACAATGATCCAATGTTGAAAAGCAATAACAGATGAAAACTCCCAAAGGGGGTCAATACTTTTTATAGGCGCTGTAGCAGTGGCTGCAAATGTTAGCATACATTGTTTAATTACTATCAGTTAGTCCTGGATGATAGAATATCAGATATTAGGCTAGCATTAGCAGCTCTTTTGACAGTTTAGAGCAGAAGTGAAATCAGAACTTGAAATTGTTGTGCCAGTTGTATGATAACAGATCTATCAGTCAGTCAGCATTTCTTCCTTACTTGTCACAAGGCCAGAAGAAAGGATGACTCAAGCATTCTTCCACTGTTGGTCTGTCCTTTGGTTCTTTGTTGATCATCCACTCGATGAGATCCTTTGCCACCAAATCTTGAACATGATCCAAACTGTACTTCCCTTGGTGAATGTTGTACACACATTCATAGTGTTCGCCAAATGGATGGTGTCCCCCAGAGAGGATGTAATATATTAGCATTCCAGCCACCTTAATTGACAGAGCATATAATCAGTTAACCTTTACATTCTGTTCATATTTTGTCTTGACTGTGAGGAATTCATGTCAAAGGATCCTATATAATAAGTCTCTGTACCAAATTTTAAACTACAGAATGATTTAGAATGTCTAAAAAGCATTTTTCACCTTAATAAATGTAATCAAAAAATACAGATTTAACATAGCCTGTACTGTTTCACGATTTCAAGATTCCCTAAACCTGCCATTTTCCTTGATTTGACCCACACTGATGATCCAGATCTAAAATCCATCTCAACTGATTTGAGTGAAATTTGAAGCAACACAGCCACAGTGTACAAAAATCTGTCACACTTGTACAAAAGTATACAATTTTAAAATGTTTACTTTTTTGTGTATTTTGTGTCACTTAGGAAAAGTCATCAAATTTCAGGCTAAAGGAATGACATTAAGGATATTGTTACTGCTGTCAAATGTCAAAACGGATTGAATTTGACCTGAACTGTGTGTAAGGTGGTAGTCATTTTCACCCTGGTATCAACTACATTTGTGTTGCAGAAGACTAACCTGTACATCAGTGCTTGACTTGTATGGTATGACAGATTCTTCTGTTAG